TTTTGATACTTGGAATTTCTCAGAATAACGACAAGTTTTCATATTTGTTGAGCCAGGGACCGAAAAAAATGAACTATAGTTACTAATAAGGACTGTGCAAGGAGTTTGGACACCAGGGAAGTAACACTTTCGCCACAAACTTTTTTCCTAGCATACACCAGAGAACTGAACTCATTTGCCAGGAGTCTTGAAAATGAGTCTTGCTGATTATTTTGCTTAATTTTAATTAATTGCTACATATTAAGTTACGGACTTGTATATTCCAGGGATCTGGATCTGAAGAAGCCAATTTATCAGAGGACTGCAGCCTATGGCCACTTTGGTAGGGACAGCTTCCCATGGGAAGTGCCCAGAAAGCTTAAATATTAAAAGTGTTAGCCTTTTTTCCCCAGACTTGTTGGCGTAGGCTACAGAGAAGCCTTCAAGTTCTGAGGGAAAGGGCCCTTCTTCCTAAAACTTCCTGTCCTCTTTCAGCTCCTGATCAGTTGCAGTCACTCTAGTCAATGACATGAATTTTAGCTTGTGTGGGGGACTGTAAGTTCGCTTGCTATTCTGTCCCTAGGTTTTTTTTGTTCACCATTATAATGAATTTAGTGAGCATAGGTGATCCATGTAACTGCCTAGAAACAAACCAACAACACTGTAGTAAATAATGCTTTGAAATTGAACCTTTGTGCCCTATCATCCAACCCCCTAAAATTCTAATTGCATTGACTTTCTCACCAAATGCTGAAAATGTCCTTGTAATGTGCACGTAAAGTACTAGTAGTTCCATTATAGCTTCTGTCTGGCAATGCCACAGCCCTGTCAGCATGAATTTGTAATGTCTCCAGCTCTATTATGGATGTGAAGCTTTTCCTTATCCTCCCTATAACATGATCCATTTCTAATTATGTAGCTTTTTGTCAGGGAGTGTTCCCTATTCAATCATTCTTGCATGTAACGCAAGTTCCAGATGGAGCTCTAGCCTGACGGGAAAAAAAAAAAAGGCAGTTACCATTAAACCATCTCCCTGGTGCTTATGCTCTTAATTGCCATCTCTTAAACAGCACCAAATCAAATCTCTCCACTTACTCAGCTGTCTTGGAGGACGTACGTAATAAGGTTTTATTTAGTAAACCAATCTTATGCATGGTTTCAGCACTAGCCAAACCACCAACTCCTAGCTCTAGAAAAACAGGCACTTGGCACCCTTGTGATATCATACAGAGAAGTCATAGGGCAGTACCTGAGGGTCTGTAGGTTGCACACTTTGGTACCAGATAACTTTTTTTTTTTCTTTATAAGAAAGACTAAGTACTCCACACTGCACAATAATTCCTCCCAAGGTTTTAACTTTGTTTTGTTTTCAAAACCAGGTCCATTGAGCTTTCTGAACAGCTGGTGTAGCTACAGAGAAACCAGCTTCCTTCAGAGAGCAGTGCTTTTGGCGGGGAGGAGGAAAATCCCTTCATACTTGAACATTTTCTAATTGCTTATTTATTGTATTCTGGGGTATGGCGTAAGTACAGAGAAGCCATCACCTCAGATGGCAGCTTTTAAAAGATTTTTTTTTCCCTCAACACCATGATTCCTTTAATATGTTTCCAGCATTCCCAGGTAGGCCAAGGTGTCCTACAGAAAAACCTTGGGTTAGACCTACAGGGGTTCTGGCTGGTGTTAACAAGGGAGGGCAGAGCTGGTGCGGCTGGCCATGGAGAAAGCTGACTTGGCTGGTGTGGTACAGAGAAGCCAGCTTGTTTACATGCTTATTCCATGACTGCTTGCCCTAAGCAGAAAGTGCCTTTCAGGATCTATTTTTGGAGGTTTATTACGTATGTCTGGTTCTCAATTCCAACAGTTTAATGAAGATCTAAATAAAATGCTAGGTTCTACCTTAACTGTGTCCATCATTTTTTAAGTGTTTGGTATGAATGTGATCTGAGAACATACTCTGACCTTGATGAACTAATTCTACCCATTGTTCAGGGCAATCATCTCAACCCTGACTGCAGGCATTTAATATGTTTATAAATCCTACCTATCCCTAGCACTAAGGAAATTCAAGGTTAGGTTTTTAAAACACTGCCTTTTTTAGCCAATGACTTGTGTCTCCTTATTACAGCAGCCATTGCTACACTGCCAATGTTTTGCATTATCTAAGATTGAGGGCATAAAACTCACTAATATAAAACAGGCTCCATAATTTTTTTTCCATAAACACAAAAAGCCTCATCAGATTCCTATCAGCACAAACAGGTATACTAACAGGTATTTAAAAGTGGCCTACTGCAGACTTGGAAAGTGAGGGGATACCTGTATTAAGAAGGTAATGTTCAGTCTTGAAAATCAACCCATTTCCAATAGGTGTTGGGGGCTGCAAGCTGAAAAGTTTCTAAACAGGAAACTGAAAAGCTCCAGATTTTGGAACACTTAGATCAGTGGTCGGCAAACCGTGGCTTGTGAGCCACATGCAGCTCTTTGGCCCCTTGAGTGTGGCTCTTCCACAAAATACCACGTGTGGGCGTGCACGTACAGTGTGATTGAAACTTCGTGGCCCATGTGCACAAGTCGGTTTTCGGAAAGACAGGCGAAACTATACAAGATGAGTGTGGATGGGAGAGTTGAAAGGGGTTGACCTCAGCAAATTTACCTCAATCAGACTGAGGATGTTTTTAGCAAAGGCCAGCTTAGGAGTACCCTAATTAAGTTAATAGCAATGTACCTACCTATATAGTTTAAGTTTAAAAAATTTGGCTCTGTTGACTAATGAGTTTGCCGACCACTGGCTTAGATAATGTACTGCTGCCTGAAGACCAGTAATTGTGGGCCAAATAAGGGTCTGAGGATGAGTGGACCCCTGCAGGCTGGAGGGACAGCACCAGAGAATTAACTGCCTTAGATTATTTGCTAGGAAGATGCCAAAGGAAAGGTGCTTCTGCTTTTGGGGAAAAGAATTTTAAAGATAGGAAGGCAGAGGAGCATGAGCCCAGGGAGAAGAGTAGGAGCAAAGGCATGCAACAGGGTGGTTGAGAAAGTATGAAATATAGAAGAGAATGTCAAAACAGTTCATTTGCCTTTCTATAAAGTTTCAAAAGGGGCAACGGATTGGACAGGAGATCCAAATGTTGGTCACAGAATACCAAAACGCCTCTGGCTAAGAGGATGTTGACAATCCATTCCCAAAACAGCCACAGTTGCATAGGACCTGATTCCTCCTAAAATCTGAATAACCCAGATTTATTCCATTGAACAATGTTTACCAGTGTTAAGATGACCACCCTTGCCCTGAATGGTTTGGCTCAGTGGATAGAGCGTCAGCCTGCTGGCTGAAGGGTCCCAGGTTCAATTCCGGTCAAGGGCATGTGCCTTGGTTGTGGGCACATCCCCAGTAGGGGGTGTGCAGGAGGCAGCTGATCGATGTTTCTCTCTCATGGATGTTTATAACTCTTCCTCTCCTGTCTGTAAAAAATTAATAAGATATATTTAGGGGGGGAAAAAGATGACCACCCTTTCCCTCTGTCCCATCCTCCCTGCACTTTCACTGGGAAAACAGTCACAGAGGTGGTACACTAAGTTTGGGAATAGCAGCACCCTTGTGAGTGTCCCCTCGCAAAGTGAAGGAGAAAGAGCTGCTATTCTTACCAAAGGGTAGAGGATGAACAGGAGACAGAACCTACTGGCAAAGGACACCGTGCTGAGGTACAACGTGTCACTTGTGCAGTTCCCCCACATCATTCTTGCTCCATACCTGTGGTGCCCTGGCTGGTGTTGCTCAATGGCTAGTGTGTTGGCCTGCACACACCAAAGGGTCAAGACTTTGGTTCCCAGGAACGTACCTGGCTGGGTTGCAGGTTCGATAGGGAGGCAACCAATCATTTCTCTGTTTCTCCCCTCCCTCCACTCCTTAGACCCGGGTCGCCAACTGGTGGTCCGTGAGGTCCAAAAAGTTGGTGACCACTGCTCTAGACATCAATTCTAGGGAGGCAACCAATCATTTTTCTTGTTTCCCCTCCCTCCCACTCTCTAAATTCAGGTGAGGATTTAAAAAGAAAAAAAAAAAAGACCCTGTGGCACAGCCATTGCATACAATGCCTTGTATGAATCAAAGGGACTTACTGCCAGGCCCCACTTGGCCCAACCTGTACGTCTTCATGGTAGCCCTGCTCTGATCTCCCTATAGCAGAGGAGATGAAATTAATAGGTTTAAGAAATAAGAGGTAGAACTGATAGCACTTGAAATAAGAAATGTGAGGAAAAGACAAGACTGATGACTCAAAGGTGAAAAAAAATATAGTTGCCATTCACTAATAAAGGAGAAACAGGTCTTGAGTTGGAAATGAAGCTAAGTTCTGTTCAGGACAGGGATTGAAAGCTCTGGGATATCCAGGTGGAGACAGGTATATATAGGTCTAGGGCACAGGAAAGAAATCTAAGCATCACTGGAAACCATAGAATAGACATAATCATCTTAAGTGGGTACAGTGAAAAAAATGCCTGGGAAAGAACCCTGAGCCCACTGTCCAAGGGGGTTAGGAGGAGTGGGGCATGGGAAGAGAAGCATAAAAACAGATGCAATCTTTTATGGGACTGCCAGTCTGTTACCAGACCATGAGCTCTTTTCTTTTTTTAAAACTGCATTCTCACTTCCCAGCCCAGTGCCAGTCCTTTGAATATTCATGGACCTGAGGAATTTCCTTGATCCCCTTGTATACCCAAACCTACAGTCCCTTATCCCTCACCAAGTTTGGTTAATACTTACTTTACATTACCTTCTCACTAAGTGCTAGAATAATGCTAAATATTAAGCTTGTTTTTAGAAAAATACTAATGGAACCATCTAAATTTCCTTATTAGTTTAACTTTCTGCTATCCTAACTACTCTCATAACTGCTAGTGAAAAACTTACAGGCTACATAGATACAAGAAACTAAGAAGGAACCAGAATTGTAGTGAAGAGAAAATTCGTGCATTCAAAACCTGATCACCATCCTACTCATACTTATAATTAAGAAGACAAGTTTTAAGTTACATTACTTCAGAATTATTGTGATTCTCAAAATTACAAGAGATAGGGTAAAGGACCTTAAGTCAGACATGAGGTTCAAACCATCAATCCATCCCTTACGAGGTTTACATCTTTGAGCAAATTATAGTACCTCTCAGTGTCATTTTCTCCAACTGTAAAATAAGACTAGTGACCATTAAGGACTAAATGTAATGTAGGCACTGTGTGAAGCATTGTGCATGTAGCAAGCACTTGAGAATACTTAGCTACTATTTTCATCATGGTACATAAAATCTCTTTCCCCAAGGAGCCAGTCACTTTAAACCTAACTTTCCCCTTTATTGTAGAAGGACCTTTTCACATTGCTTTTAACCCCCTCCTGGCCTCTAAACCTTGGATTGATAAATCTTATCCTTGCTTTACTTTCTTGGCTCCTTCCTCTAAGATATCACTTCTGAATTTAAAGGAGCTATAGACAAGGAAGAAAAATGTAAATGTCTGTAAACGTTTTTTTCAAATCTCCACGGCACAGGTAATGGTCCTGTGCCTGGCTGCTCCCACGTCTGTACCCAATATCTGGCCCCCTTCAGAACTCTGAGTGGATATGCTCAGAATTTGGTTCAGGAGGATTCGAATTTGAAGAATCTGTGTTTGAAGGATTCAACTCTCCAAGTGGCTCAAAGGGTCGCAAGTTTGCATAAGTCACCTCTTGGGCCAGTTGCTCCAGGGAAGGGCGACCTAACGCCAGATTTCGAAGTGAGATACAAGTCATCAGGAAGCTGAAAAAGAGGAAAAAGGCCACCCAGTCCAAACTCCTGTTTCAACATAGGAATTCCTACCAAAGCCCTTATGGGACACCTGGTCCTACCTTCTCTCACACAGGCACAAATGAGAATTGCCTTGCAGGGGCCCCCATATCCCAGCTGGAGGCACCCCGCTCTTTATACAGTCTGGTAGAATTCTAGGGTGGGCAGGAATAACCCATGGGGAGGCTGGAGGTAAACGGGCAGAGCAAGACAGTAAGCTGTCAGACACACATTTACTCTTCCATTAAATCAGGGAGATGAGAAGGGAGGTAAAAAGCTATTTAGCCCTAGATGTCCTTTCTCTCACCAGAGAAAAGTTACCCAACTTGCAAATATCTGATGGCAACGACAAGTATTGTGGGTAAAACTTACCTGCGGCGAAAAACATAGAGCTTTCGCAGCAAGAAGCGGAAGAATCGTTCGTGGAAAGGGGAGTTTCGCCGGCGTTCAATCTCCTGGAGCCTTTGCTGGCGTTTAAGAAAGGTCTGAACCAGAGGTGTTGGCTCAGGACCTCCTTTTACTTCCCCTTCTAGCAGAGGTTGCAGCTCGGGGGGTAGAGGCCCTGTTTCTGCTCAAAGTCAGCAAAAAGAGGAATCGCTGAGAGAGAGAGCATTCTCTCCTACAACGCCCCTTTCACCAGCTAGAGGCTTCAAGTTCAATTTTTAATGGCTAGATCCTCATTCACAACCCTAACTTCTGGTACTCGGGGTTACCTCAGCCCAAACCTTTATTTACTCACCACTTCCATTCTCCACCTTCTCTTTCAATTCCTGCAGATATGCCAGGTCTTGCTCCAGTGCAACTTCCGTAGTGTTGACATAGATGTACATGTAGCAGGAAGGACCGGGTGACACTGTGTACACCTTATGGTACTCGCCAGCAGGCAACTGAGCAGGGGATAGAAATGAATATATTTCACTCTTTGAACTTTTCCTAGTCGGCCTATAGGCTCCTAACACCACCTGCTCCCCACCCAACGGGCATCTTTCTTCTTACTGTGTTTTGGAGTCCAAAGGAACTGACCTCTAGAATCCTGGATGAGGCTACTCACAGCCCCAGGAATCTGTACTTTTTGAGCCCCCACAACACTACTGCTTTGGTAAAACATTTTGAGTCTATAATGAATTAACTCCATTCATCTAAACTTTTCTGCTATTGTTAATTCCAGCAAGATACCTGCATTTTTTCTCCCTCCTGAAGAGTCTGGTTCTTCTGTTCTGCCACCAGCTCCACAATCACTTCCCCCTGCAGCAGCTGGATGCTAGTGTTGCCCAGGTCTTCGTTCACAAAATTCTCCAGGTGCAGCCCTGACAGGGACAACCAAGTTCTCCAATGCCCACCATGAGTGAACCCACTTCCAGCAAGAACAGACATCACACTTCACCACTACCACCCCTCAGATTTCAAAAACATTCCTCCCACCAGGAGTACCCCTCCCCTTTCCACCACATGCAAGGTCCCTGACCAAAGAAGCAAGGAGGAAAGACCGCAAAGCCTCTCCTAGCTTTCTTCCATACCAGGGAAATCTGCAATGAAGACCACCATAGTGTAGTTGTCCAAGCTGCTCTTGATTTCCTGTAACTTGGCCCTCCAGGGGACAGGTCCATCAACAGTGGCTGCAGCCAAGGTGTCGGCTGGAAGGGGGACCAGGCAGCCTGCACGATGTCCACATGAGGGTCAAAAAGCCTTAGGAAAGAAAACCATGTTTTAAGAAGGCCACAGCCACCTACCCATCAGAATTTCCAGTTCTGTTTCTCTCATCACCATTCCCAGAGAGAGGGAACAGGGTTTCCAGATAGAAAACTTAGCCTATGTCAGCATGTTATGACCAGTCTGAGGCAGAGAGAGAGGGGAAAGAGATTCTGGAGCACTGGGAAGAATGAGGGTTAGTGGCCATCTAAGAATAGTGTTAACTTTCTAGCAGAACAAGTCATATTACTTTTTCTTCTGGGTGATGGGGCCCCCTGCTGGAAGCAAACAGCTATGCCCACAACCAGGTCTACAGGGACATGCACCAGAGGACAGACAGCCTTTCAAGCAAGACAACACTGGGAAGCATGGGCTATTCATCTTGGCAAAAGGAGCTGGACTTCATTTTTCCCCCTTCCCTGCTCCCCTTGCCCACCTCTGCTGGAAGCGGTCATTGATGGACACCCAAATATCAAAGTAGATCTGGGGCTCAGTAACATTGTACTTGGGAAGCAGGCGGCTCAGGCAAGTGGCATATTGCTTCAGCATGTCTGCATGATCCTTCCATCGCCGGCTCTGTGTGAATACCTGTCCCAAACCCCCATATTAGTCCCACCTCTTCGTACTACCTCCTGGATGAGTCATGCACTGCCAATGGTATAAAGAGATCTGGTTGTTTTGACCAGGAAAAAAAACCTGACCTTGTTTTTGGGGAAAAGTTTTTCATTGCTGAGCTAGTGGTTTTACTTACCTTTCTTACATCTAATCTCAGTGTAAGGAGGTGAATGACACTGCCCTATTTCAACCCACATAAAAGAAGGTTGAACCTGGCTCCTGAGAAAGGGGAGTGACCCAAATTTGTTTTATTTTACAATTGTGTTTAGGACCAAACCAGACCCCAAAGGTCAAGGCCGCTCTGAAGAACAGTACATTGTCAGCATCAGAAATCTCACCCCAGGGTTAAGGTAGCCCAGCTCGCCAGTGCGGCCATCACGGTAGGTGATCTTCACGTGCTGGTGGGAGCGGGAGTGCACCATCATGTCCCAGGAGTAGCCATAGAGCCCATTTGTCCAATTGTTATAGCCCTGAGAAGGCAGGGCAGAGGCAATCAGCTTAACGGTTCTTAGGCTAATCCCATCCTCTATCAAGAAAGGGCTACACAACCAGCCCATTCTTTCCCTATGGCTGCCACTTTCCATGCTAACCCCAGCCTACACATACCTGGGTGAGGAAATGGGAATAGGGCAGGAAGAGCTGCTCCAGGAGGTAGATCAGGGTCAGGGTGAAGGCAGCGCCTAGCTGATGGCGCAGCCCTGGCTTCTGGCTGCCTTTGGCCCGGTTCCTCTTATACATGCACTGGGCTGAGGGGCAGCCTTGAGGGGCAGCAGTTCTTGCAGCCTTTTGGGGCAGTGAGATACCAGCTTCCGAGGCCACTCAGGGGAGCAGAAGAGAGGGCTGCTGGCCAGCATGACATAGGGGAACATACCTAGAAAAGCAAGGAGAAAATAAGCATTTCAGGAGTTTGGTTTGGGGAAATGTGGGTAATCCCCTTGACCCCTTTCCCTTAAGAAACCTCTCCCAAGTATCCTACTGATGATGAAAGAAGTTCTTAACTAAAGGACACGTACTTCCCAGAGATTCCTTACTATACAGCATATTAGCTGAGCCGAGAAGTCCCAATTCTCTCTTCCCAATTTATTTCCGTGCCACAGTGACTGCATCAGGCTCAATGTGGCTGCTATTCCCATCATCACCTCTCAGTCCCAAACAACACCTCTGGCAAGTCCCTCCCTGTGATTTCCTATTTCCTATCAGACGACGGGTACTAACCAATGCTGAAAAGCTGGGAATTCATGCAGTGGAAGTAGGACACGAAGAAGAGGCCCACGGATCTCGAGGCGTCGAAGAAGAGCAGGAAGCCAGCTGAGAGGTCAAGCAGCAGTCCGCCCCAGTGCACCACCAGCAGACTAGTCATCTCTTCAGACAACACGAGTCTGCGGACACCAGGGACAGGGTCAGGCACCCGCCCACTGGGGAGCCTGGCTGGCACAGCACACTCACAGCAAATGCACCTCTGCTACCCTGTCCTTGCCAAAGGAGCCACCCCAGCGGGTGGGTAGAACTCTGTACAAAGACACCCCAGAAGTTTTCCAACCCCTGTACATTTCCACACACATTAGGTGTCCAGCTGTTTTCCACATACCCTCTGTCAGAAGCAAGGGCAAATCTGTTTGAGAAGTGTGGCTGCTGTTGCAGGGAGACTCCTCGCAGAGGTTACAAATTAGAAGAAAATTTAAAAGGTGAATGCTAGTCCTAGCCAGTTGCTCAGTGGTTAGAGCGTTGGCCTGCGAACTGAAAGGTCCCATGTTCGATTCCAGTCAAGGGCACATGCCTGGGTTGTGGGCTTGATCCCTAGTGGGGGACTTGCAGGAGGCAGCCGATCCATGATTCTCTCTCATCATGGATGTTTCTATCTCTCTCCCTCTTCCTTCCCCTCTGAAATCAATAAAAATATATATATTTTTTAAAAAGGTGAATACTTGACCTATATGAATCTGAAGTCAAACTACAGCAGTGGTTCTCAACCTTCCTAATGCCGCGACCCTTTAATACAGTTCCTCATGTTGTGGTGACCCCCAAACATAAAATTATTTTCGTTGCGACTTCATAACTGTAATTTTGCTACTGTTATGAATCGTCATGTAAATATCTGATATGCAGGATGTATTTTCATTGTTACAAATTTAACATAATTAAAGCATAATGATTAATCACAAAAACAATATGTAATTATATATGTGTTTTCCAACGACCCTGTGAAAGGGTCGTTCGACCCCCAAAGAGTCGCGACCCACAGGTTGAGAACCACTGAACTACAGGAACTGAGAAATACCAGGGAAGAGGAAAAAGGACAAAGTAAAAAAAGAGAGAAGAAATGGGAGGGAGAGAGAAGTCAGAGAGGCGAACTTCTGCTTTGAGAAGAGTTGGTAGCACTGGTTCTGTCAGGGCAGGGACACTGTCCATCTTCTCAGTACACTGGCTGAGGAGTCCTGGAGAGGCTGGGGTGGCAACAACTCATTCACCAAGTCACCTAGTTCTAGCTCTTTCCTCTCCTTCCTTCCTTCCTTTTTTTTTTTTTTTAATGTTTGAATTATCTCAGAAAGAGAGGAAGGGAGAGGAAAAGAGAGATAGAAACATTGATGGGATTGAATCATCAATAGGCTGCCTCCTGCACAATCCTTACTGGGGATCAAGCCTGAAACCTGGGCATGTGCTCTGACCAGGAATTGAACAGGAGACCTCTTGGTGTATAGGTTGATGCTCAACCACTGAGCCACACCGGCTGGGCTTTCCCCTTCTTTTTAAATTTATTTCCCTCCATTGCCACCCACAGCGTAAGTTTCGCAGGGGGAGCCTTCTGCTGAATAGGGAGATGAGTGGACAGAGGAAAGTATGTTGCAAACTCAGGCAAAGTAGGAACAGCAGCCATGACTGCAGACAGGACAGCGGTGAGTCACCCACTCTGTGCCTGTGCCTCAGTGAGGCCTCTGCGCCGACTGCCACTCACTTGAAGGGACTGAAGAGCCAGTGCCGGGACAGGTTCTCCATGGAATAGCCTTCCACCCAGTCTGCATCCAGCTTTTTCACACCCGCAATGAAGTACACAATGAAAATCTGCAAACACAAAATGCAAAACAAATGTTTAAAGAAAAAAAAAAGAGTACTGGAGACCATTATGCTAAGTGAAATAAGCCAGTTAGAGAAAGATAAATATCACATGATCTCACTCATTTGTGGAATATAATGAACAACATAAACTGATGAACAAAAATAGAACCAGAGACACAGAAGAATCAAACGGACTGTCCAACCTATGAGGGAAGGCGGGAGGGTAAAGGGGTAAGAGACCAACCAAAGAACTTGTATGCATGCAAGTTGAGGTGAGGGCATGTGCTGGGGGGTGGGAGCGGCCAGGGAGAGGTCAATGGGGGAAAAAGGAGACTCATGTAATACTTTAAACAACAAAGAATTTAAATTTAAAAAAAGAAAGAAAAGAAAGAGTAAGTTTTCATCTCAGTTCAGGGACCAAGGAAGATTAGTTCCATTCTTCTACTCACTCGTTTCAGATATTCACTCATCCAACAAGTATCTATTGACATCCTACCAATGTCAGGCACAGTCTTAGGCACCAAGGAGAGTCATAAAGCATAGATATTATTCTCTCTCATGAGGATTCTAACCTGGCAGGGACAAAGCCCTATTCTTTCATGACAAGGTGAGACAGCCCGGAGATTAGGGTTTGGGAAACAGCAGAAAAGCCAGCCTAGCCTTCCAGTAAAAGGGAAGAAAGAGAAGATCTAGGGAGGCAGAGTAGAGTGCAGTCTGCCATGGGATGGCCATGCTGACAATGACTGTCAAAGAAGACCTTTCCTACGATCTTGTACCTGGCCACGCAGCACGGCATAGTTCCAAAGAGGCACGTGGGCATTCCGCTTTCGGGAATTCAGCAGGCCATCCACAGACCTACACCAAGGAAGGTAAGGATTGAGAAGAGCGTCTTAGTCCAGCCACATTTCCATCTTCCTTTTTAAATGTCATAATCTATCTCAGGACAGCTCCCATACCCTCTCTGGTCCTCTGGACTATTTGGAGGCCCTTTAGAATTATACGAGGAAACTGGAACAGTGATTATTTTAACTCATAACGGAAATTTTACTAGTGAGTTATAACAATAAAAAGTTCAGTGTTTACCATTCGTTACTTAGCAAATTAGTTAGTGCTAATGGAAAAAGTCAGGAAAAAGACTACAGTGCTAGAATATGACTGAATTTAGTAAAGAATGAGTTTAAGGGAGTGTTTAAAAAGCTTGAGGTTTATATAAATATACATTAAAAATTTTTTTCAGTATCCAAAACAAACTGACACTTGTAGACCTGAATGCCAGGATCTAGTGCCAGAAGGTCCCTACTAACAGCCTACCTTGGGAGAGAACTGATAAACGCAGGCTCTAAGACTAATGTACTCTGGGGAGGCAGAAGCAAAGCAGATTTTCAAGAAGACAATGAATGAGCCGAGAAGTTGGGGAAGGGCAGCTTGCACTGTGGTCAAGAGCACTGGAGTCTACAGCTAAGGAGACCTCCATTCTCACTTTGCTTCCTGCTGCTATGGGACCTCAGGCAAATCTTTACTTCCCTAAGCCTTAGTGTCTTCATCTATAAAATGAGGAAAGCACTATGGACCTCATGGGGTTATACTGAGGACAAATTAAAGTGTTTAGCCTGGTATCTGGAAATCCATCAGTAAGTAAGTGGTACGTATTTAAAAAAAAAAAAATTCAGGAGTATTCTGCCAAAACTGTCTCCTAATTCTATATGATCAGAGCTGGCCATTCTGAATGAGTCTAATGGTTTACAAAAGGAGTATTTGTATGTGTGTATTAACAAATGAAACTTAATGACTGATAAATCACTAATTAATTCAGTGCTTGAGATTTTTTTATTTACACCCATCTTACTGAGATCTCATATTTGCTTTTCACTTAAGAATGGGAAAAATCCTTAAAGGTCGTCTGCCCTGCCATCTGGTTTCCAGATCCCTTCTCCACCTCCCCTGAAAGATGGTCACCTAAGCCAGAGGTGGGGGAGGTTACCTCCTCCCAGGACAGCGCTGCTGAGCAGCCCTGGTGGGCCCTCTCCTTCTGACATGACTCTGCCTCACAGCAACTTCTACTCTGTGCTCTAACTCTGCACCTCTGGGCTCACACAGAGAAAGTCTGCTCCCTCTTCCACATGACCACCCTCGAAGTATCTGAAAACAGCTATGTCTGGCTTTAGTCTTCTCTTCTTCTCTCTAAGAAGATTACAGGAAGTGCACAGATCAAGGCACCTGGGGAGATACGGAAAGAGTGAAGGGGTGGGAATGGAGCCATTTTGCTTTTTGTCATCCCAAGTGCCACAACCTCGCTGACTCTTCCCCCTCCCAAATCCATCCAAATTAAAGTGTGATCTTTGCAAAGCATTGCTGAAATTATTCTTGCTGGGGCAAATTCTAGGACCTCAAGGGGCCCCTATCTTTGGTAAACATCCTGACCCAGCCGACCCCTCCCCTCTTTTTCCCTCGATTCATACCAGTAGTGGTTTGCATCCACGAATGTCAGCTGAAAAGCTAACAAACCATACAGATAGGAGTGGTTGTTCCATGACGTCTTGTCCAGGAGAAACACATACCAGTACGGCAGCAGGAATAACACACAGCTTATCCGGTAGCACAGGCCCAGCATCATGCCCAGTGCCCCTGGGATTTGAGGGGGAGAGGATTAAGAGGTCAAAGGTCACCACAGGCCCAGCTCCCCTGGGACAGGCTGTGGGTGGGATTAAGAAAAGTCATCAGACATTTTATAATCAGGTACAACTAAATCAAAATTAAATGTTATTTTAATATCTTCAAAAAGAGCTATGGGATCACAGCTCAGATGACACACAGGTCAGGAAGATGAAATTATGAGTCATGACAGAAGTGAAATAAGGAACCCAAGACCTTTCTCATGCTTTGTATGTCTCTGTTTTAGATAGGCTAATCAATATTCCCAGTTCCCCTCACCCAGGAACATGACGGTATAGACAAGATACATCCAGTCAAGTGGCAGTGGCTGCAGGACATCCAGCAAGGGGAAGCGGCACACCTCCAGCCCATCCAGGTATCTTCGGTCCAGGGAGCTGAGCCCCCGCTCCTGGGGAATGTCCAGCACCATCAACAGCCCTGAGAAGGCAGTGGGAGAGGGGGCCATTAGGCCTCAGCAAAGGAAGCAGCAGAATACATTTGAATACAGTTGGCTGAATCTAGCTCCAAGGTGAGAATTCTCTCCTAACCAGGCTTTACCATTCATTCATTCACCCAACAAACATTACTGAGTGCCTCCTATGTGGTAGGCACTATGCCAGTTGTGTGATCAGCTACTGTACCTCACTAAGCCAATTCCCCATTTGTAAAAGGGGGCTCATAATATTTTACAGGGTTACAGAGAGGATTACATAAGAGAAACATACAAAATGCTATAAAAAGCTGTTCAGGTGTTGATAGTTAATATTTACAAAGGTCTGTCACATTAGGCCCATGGTCGGCAAACTGCGGCTGGTGAGCCACATGCCGACCACTGCATTAGGCTACAGAAAGTGCTCAAGGATGGTGCTTGCTCCTCAACCTTTTCCACTTCCTGGTATACCCAGAAAACAGCAGTATTTGGCTAACACACTGGGGTAAACAGAAGGGGCTACTCAGATCAGGAAGCAGCTCCAGTTAAGGCAGTGTTTCGCAACCTCAGGACCATTGACATTTGGGGCTGGTTAATTATTTGCTGGGAGGGACTATCCTGTGCATCATAGGTCCAATTAGCAGCATCTCTGGCTCCTATGTAGATGCCAGGAGCCACTTATCCCCCCCCCCCCGCCCCACATATGAAAAAAAAAAATGTCCCCGGACATTGCCAAGTGTCCCCTCCCCCCCCCCCAAAATCGGGCCCGAGGTGAGAACCACTGGGCTAACGGGATTAATATCTCTGCATATCATAACCCATTCCAAGCAGAAGGTCTGGATTAGGGAGTTACAGCCAACATGTCTGCTATTTCTCTAAAGCAGCAGTTCTCAACTTGTGGGTTGCGACCCCTTTGGGGGTCGAAAGACCCTTTCACAGGGGTCGCCTAAGACCATCGGAAAACACATATATAATTACATATTGTTTTTGTGATTAATCACTATGCTTTAATTATGTTCAATTTGTAACAATGAAAATACAGCCTGCGTATCAGATATTTACATTATGATTCATAACAGTAGCAAAATTACAGTTATGAAGTAGCAACGAAAATAATTTTATGGTTGGGGGTCACCACAACATGAAGAACTGTATTAAAGGGTCGCGGCATTAGGAAGGTTGAGAACCACTGCTCTAAAGTCTAGTCCTTAGTGTAATTACTGAACAACTTCATGACATAAGGAAAATTAATCCCTGTTCCTCTGCCTCCATATTTCCTATAGCCTCAGATCAAAGCATTTCTGGCCTCTAACGCTAATCAGAGGAGACAAAGCTGGGTTTGATCCTAAACTCCACAAATAACCTCTTCCAGGACACTGATGTCTTCCGCTGTGAGAAAAAGGGAGGAAAGTCCACTAAGTGAGTAACCAAGAAATAGACAAGGTTGGGAGGCAGTGATACTTCCGAAGTTCATAAGCCTCTGATGCAAGCAATCAGGTATCCACGAGGCATCTCTATGGAGCAAGAGAAAAGGAGCAGACTATAACCCCAGTTTCCGAGTTCCGAAAGCAGGCGCTTGACGTTTTCTAGATGTCCATCTCGCATCACCTTCACATTGTCACTCTCCCGCCCCAACCACACGGGCCCCTCCCAGCAACTGGACTTACCAAAGAGAAAACGGAAGACAGCCAGGCTTGCAGGATCCATTGGCCGATTCAGCAGGGTCACCAGCCTCCCCCAGCTGGACACATCTGCCCACTCAAAACCCAAGAGTTTCCCCATGCGGCTGGCCTGGCCGGGGCCCGGGGTCTGTGCAGCCTTGTCTTTCTGTACTTTATCTGTAACCAATAAATGGAGAAAGGTGTGTGCACGTGCGGGGTGGAGGTGCTTTAAAATCGGCTCCTTCCCAAATCACAGCCCCCACAACCCGAGGGCTTCTGCCTCCCTGGGTTCTCCCGCTGATCTCTACCTGGAACACCCTGCAGGGCAGCCCCTCCTCCAGGACGCGCCAGTGCCCCAGACCTCTCAGGCTCCAGCCCCCTAATGGCTAATCGCATGTCACCGTCACCCCAAACTGCAAACTGCAACCTCTCTCTATATGCCCCTTCCCCAGGACCCACAGGGCAGTCCTCCGGTGCCCGCCACTGCGAGACCAGCGCCCCTCTCTCCGTCCGCCGCAGGGTGGGGCTCTGAGCCTACCTGCGCCGGGCGGGGCCCGCGAGGACAGGGCAGACAGCGCCATAATTCTGCGGAGGTCAGTCACTCACAGCAGCCACGAGCGAGGGGCCGCTCCCCTAGGCCCCGCCTCCCCGACACGTCAGCAGGGAGCAGCCGGCCGTAAAGCGCCGGGACTGTCGTGAAGGGCCGTAGCGGCGGATCCTGGCTCCCTGCTTGGCGGCAGAAGGCAAAGCGAAGGGACCTTTGGGGCCGAGCGAGGCCTGGCTCCCTGCTTGGCGGCAGAAGGCAAAGCGAAGGGACCTTTGGGGCGGAGCGAGGCGGGGCGGGGCGGGGCGAAGCGAGGCGGGGCGGGCCCGAAAGGGTGTGGGCGGGCCTCGTCTCCCCTGGTGACCGAGGATGCTCGGGGACACCCCTGAGACCTCCCGGGGCCCTTCTGTACGTGCAATCCTAGGAAGACTCCGGGTTCCCTCAACTTCCCTGGATCCTCCTCCGCTCTCCTTGGGCCTCTGCAGGCCGTAGTGTCCCCGCAGTGCTCCCCGATGTGAACATGTCGGACTCTTCCCTAGAAAGGTTGGCCGCTGCGTTGAGGACGCACCTGGAAGGGGCTGCCCAGCCCAGAGAGAGTATACGAGTTCCTTTATTCTACCGGTACCTGCCAAGAACCAGAGAGGCTTGAATGCAGCAGGGGAAACCGGAACAACATAGCTGAACAGAGGGGATGCAGAATAGGGGTAGTGAGTAGACCGTGGTCCATCAGGGAAGATTTTTTTTCCCTTTTTTAATCCTCATCCGAGGATGTTTTTTTCCCATTGATTTTTAGAGAGAGGGAAAGACAGAGAAATATCGATGTGAGAGACATCAATTGGCTGCCTCCTGCAGGTGCCCGACCAGGGCCCAAGCCAGGGAGGAGACCTTGACGGGAATCAAATGACGGGAATCAAACCCGGAACCCTTCGGTCCGCAGGCCGATGCTCTATGCACTGAGCCAAACCGGCGAGGGCGGCAGGGAAGGGTTTTAGAGAGACCAGTCAACACTGTAGTATCTTAACTCTGCCCTGGAATTGGGCAGCAGGAGAAGGAGAAGGCGTCCAAGGGCAGCAGTTCTCACATTTTTTGGTCTCAGGACCCACCCCTTTGCACTGCTACCTATCATTGAGAATCTTAAAGAACTGTTATTTTTTAAAAATATTTTTTATTGATTTTTTACAGAGAGGAAGGGAGAGGGATAGAGAGTTAGAAACATCGAGAGAGAAACATCGACCAGGTGCCTCCTGCACACCCCCTACTGGGGATGTGCCCACAACCAAGGTACATGCCCCTGACCGGAATCAAACCTGGGACCCTTCAGTCCGCAGGCTGACGCTCTATCCACTGAGCCAAACCAGTTAGGGCAAGAACTGTTATTTATGTGGGTTATATTTTGCCATATTGAGGAATGTTTGTATTGATTCATTAAAAATAGAATAAACTTACTAAGTATTTTATAACTAGCATTTTTGTTAATAAAGGTACATTATCACAAAAATTGCATGAAGAGTACTTCAGAATTCAGACTGATGCAGCCATTATGGAAAACAGTATGGAATTTCCTCCAAAAATTAAAAATGGAACTCCCATGTGACCCAATGATCCCACTTCTAGGAATATATCCTAAGAAACCTGAAACACCAATCAGAAAGAATATATTCACCCCTATGTTCATTGCAGCTCAACTTACAATAGCTAAGATTTGGAAACAGCCTAAGTGCCCATCAGCAGATGAGTGGATTAGAAACAGTGCTACATCTACACAATGGAATACTACACAGCTGTAAAAAAGAAAACTCGCCCAGCTGGTTTGGCTCAGTGGAGAGAGTGTCAGCCTGCAGACAGAAGGGTCCCAGGTTCAAATCCGGTGAATGGCACATGCCTGGGTTGCAGGTTTGATCCCCAGTAGGGGGCGTGCAGAAGGCAGCTGATCAATTATTCTCTCTCATCATTGATGTTTCTATCTCTTGCTCCCTCTCCCTTCCTCTCTGAAATTAATTTTTTTTAAAATTTTTTTAAAAGAACTCTTACCATTTGCAACAGCATGTATGGACCCGGAGAGTATTATGCTAAGTGAAATAAGCCAGTTAGAGAAAGATATGTATCACATGATCTCACTGATGTGTGGAACAAAATAAATCAATAAACAAAAATAGATCCAGAGACATAGAAGCATGGAACAGGCTATCGAACCTCAGAGGGAAGGCAGGGGAGCGTGGGTGGGAAGAAGTCAACCAAAGAACTTGTATGCATAACCAGCAGACACAGACAATAGAGTGGTGAAGGCCTGGGGTGGGGGGCAGGAGTGGGCTAGAAGAGGTCAATGGAGGAAAAGGGGGGACTTATGTTATACTTTCAACAATAAATATTTTTTTAAAAGAGTACTTCATATTGTCTTACTGTGAGGGCTTAATTGAAGACAGCTGGATTCTCATATCTGCTTCTGCAGAACATCTGTTGTGAAATGGTATTGATTGATATAAGTATAGAAGGGAAATCTGGCTTCACAGATAGCTGGACTAGGGAGAAGCATATTTTTAATATTTTTTTTAATGGATTTCAGAGAGGAAAGGTGAGGGAGATAGAAACATCAATGATGAGAGTGAATCATTGATCGGCTGCCTCCATGCCTGCAAACCTGAGCATGTACCCTGACCAGGAATTGAACTGTGACCTCCTGGTTCATGGGTCGATGTTCAACCACTGGGCCACACTGGCCAGCAAAGAGAAAAGCATTTTAATGGCCTTTTAGATAAATGTGGATATCCTTCTTTGACACAACTTGCATGTGGTAGTTTTTAAAGATTACTCAGATGTGAAAATTGAAACCATATCAATGAACATTATGCTCTTAACAGTGGTCGGCAAACCGCGACTCGCAAGCCACATGCGGCTCTTTGGCCCCTTGAGCGTGGCTCTTCCACAAAATACCACATGCTGGCGCGCACGTACAGTGCGATTGAAACTTCGTGGCCCATGCGCAGAAGTCGGTTTTCGGCATCGGCGAGTCTATTTTGAAGAAGTGGCGTTAGAAGAAGTGGGGGGTCTCGGTTGGTTGGGCGACGGGAGATGCAGCACAGTGTTGAGTGTGGATGGGAGAGTTGGGACCTCAGCGAACGTACCTCAATTAGCTTGAGGACGTTTTTAGCAAAGGGCAGCTTAGGAGTCCCCTAATTAAGTTAATAGCAATGTACCTACCTATATAGTTTAAGTTTAAAAAATTTGGCTCCCAAAAGAAATTTCAATCGTTGTACTGTTGATATTTGGCTCTGTTGACTAATGAGTTTGCCGACCACTGATCTGTAACATTAAAATCATTGGTATACCTCGCACTTTAAATATATATATTGAGTAAGGGAGAGAGAGAAATAGAAGCATTAATGATGAGAGAGAATCATTGATCAGCTGCCTCCTGCACACCCCACACTGGGGATCGAGCCTGCAACCTGGGCACATGCCCCAACCGGAAATTGAACCATGACCTCCTGGTTCATATGTCGATGCTGAACCACTAAACCACGTCGGTCGGGCCTAACTTGCACTTTAAATGGACATTTTACTCAAAGATGATATTGTAAAATCATGCCTGAGTAAAACATTGGAAAACAAAGTCATTTGGCAAGCACTGTTTCCTTGAGTTATGCAGCTTTTCCAAAAGCAGAGTCTCTTAAATGTTGGGAAGCTGCCCAGCTCACAGTGGCAGATACAAGTTCTAATTTTCAAGATAAGAATTTTAATTTTCACTTGAAAGTTTTCATTTTATCAAAGGCAACAAATACTGTCTAGTGTTTTCCTTGAAAGAACAGGCTCACTCCTTTCATTTTGGGGAAAATATCAGCCAAATGTGCCAGTTTGAATAACCATAGTTTGTTTGATGTCCTTTCAAATAAAATGGGATTCAACATATTGTTAACAACAATGGGGTAGGTGCTAGGATGGTTGACATCCAAAACACTGACAACAAGAAACGCTGCGCGAGGATGTGAAGCAACAGGAACTCTCCTGCACTTCTGGCGGGAATGCGAAATGATACAGCCACTTTGGAAGACAGCTTGGCAGTTTCTGACAAAGCTAAGCACACTCTTCGCATATGATCCAGCAATTGTGCTTCTTGATATTTACCCAAATGAGTGGAAAATGTATGCTACACAAAACCTGCACACACATGTATAGCAGCATTATTCGTAATTGCCTAAACTTAGAAGCAACCAAGACATCCTTCAATAGATGAGCAGATACACAAACTGTGACACGTTCCTACAATGGAATATTGAGCGATAAAATGAAATGAATTTGTTAGGAACATAGGTGACCCCGTCTTAAAACTAATCCGCCATCTTGACAACTGGGTGAACCCGAACCCATGACTCTCTCCCCTTCCCCTGGGTGAGTTCTGAAATACAGAACTCTGGACTGATCACAGTACTCCCATTAATTCTCTCTCTGGGTGAGGTGCCCCGGATGTTTCTGTTACCTCACCCTGGCACCCAAGCCTCCTAGCTCCTGATCCCTTTGATCATCACACATTCTCACAGCTTTTAAAATCTGGGGGTGGAAGGTTTGGGGATCCATTCCTCTTATTGATGCCCAAGACTGTTTTCTGTATGTAAGTTCCCTAATAAACTCTCTAAACCAACAAGCTGGACTTGTCTGCCTCATTTTTTTTTTTTTTGCTTATCGGCCCCTTCGGCTTTTGGGGGCTGCTTTGCATACACAGCCCTTTCACAAAACAGAGCTATCAAGCTACTAAAAGACATGGAGGAAACTTAAATGCGTATTGCTAAGTGAAGGAAATCAATATGAAAAGACTACATACTGTATGTTCCAAAGTCTGTGCAATCCTGGAAACGGCATAACTATGGAAATAGTGAAAAGATCAGTGGTTGCCAAGGATTGCGGGGAGGGAGGGAGGACTGA